AGTTTTCGCTGGATGGTTTCCCTCTTTTTTGCAATAGGAACCCACCTATTTTGAACATGTGATTTTGTACCATTTTAAACTTTGCCCTAAACCTGTGAAAGTTTTCACAGCTTTTAAATTTCATTAAATGTACACAAAATGTCACAGGAGTTCACAAAGGTTATTACATTTTATTTTGATACCCATTTCCATTTATACATTTTTAAAGTTGTGTTGTTGGTACTTTTTACATAAACTTAATAAATAAATAAATAAATAATAACTTTAAATTGGTTTAAGCTATTGTAACCAAATGTGATGCACATATTCAGATGCTAGCTCTGAGCTGCACAGTCTTGGTACATTCTGACTGCAGGTTTATTTCTGAAATGAGAAGCCAAGATCTTTGGTCATGTCCAGTCAGCAGGCGAAATTTGGTTTTGACTGATCAAAGTGATCGGGATTTAGAAGCTAGTAATCAACATTTTGTAATACAGCAATCAGAACTTCAAAATATTTTCAATCACCAAAATGTCCTAGAAATTTCAATATATGCTTTCAATCTCATCTAGGCTATTTTTGTGTCACATTTTGAAAAATGTGAAGAAATTTTGATTCAGTTCAAATAGTGCTCAATTATGGAGTCTGTCTCTCTGGACTTTTTTTTAAATGCATAATCAGTTTATTGATTCACTGATTCTGGAGAAATATTGTAAAATAGTTCATCCACAATTGAGGACACGGTGACAATAATGGTTGGCATAATAATACAAAATACAACATGTCACCAATGTGGGATCAAACTTAACGAAAATATCTTACAACATGACTGTATTGATCACAGACGTTTAGTTGGTAGTAAAGGCATATAATGTCCCAACGATGGCACCCTTTTTCAAACTCACTATGACATACTGATCAGCTGCACAATCAGTCAAAGTTTTACAGCTAATTCAGTGCCAAGTCAACAACATTCTTCCCCACTGGCCCTCTGGGACTGTAGATCACAGTTTACTGGTCTGAAGAAAAAAGAGAAAAAAAACACTTTTCCATAATACTGTTACTTAATTAATCGTATATACATTGTAATGATTCGTTCAGACTTCTTATAATATTTTAAAGATTTAAGTAGACATTTTTTAAAAATTATTTCAAGCCTTGTAAAGGCCTTTTCAGATGGGGATTGGATTTGTGGGGCCCGCACTGTGCTCCTTATGTAACAGACAGGTAGAAAAGTGCTCTGCGAGTAAACACCAGTGCTCTATGGGTAGTAACCAAGTCAACGGCTTCTGTGCAGTACTGTATCCCTGCCGGTACAACTGTATTCCTTATAGGCTATAGAAAACAATTAATCTTCTAGAATTTATTGAAAGAATCTATTACTAAATATATAACCGCTAACTTTCAAATTAATTCAGTTAGTAAGTTTACAAGTGAGTTTAGTTCAGCTGAGTAGCTACACTAATTAGATTGGTAACGTTAGGTCTAGTGTTTAGTTTAGCTGTGGACCAGCTTCAAAGTGGTGCTCTAGCTGTATAAAACTATTAGATTAGATCATTTTAATGAATAAGAGAAAGCAGCATTGTGGGAACACTTGATCCTGACGTCAAGGGAACTCACAAACAGAAAGGATCAGTCTCTCGTCCGTTGAACTACAGCTGACTTCACTGAAAAACTGTCACTGGCCCACACTGACCAATCAAGTGCCTGACAGACTTTTTTAATGGTGCCGGGCCATTGCTTATGTCAAACCATGTAATTGGTAAAGTGCTGCTTTGAAGTCCAAGAGTATAACCTGTTGGTTAAGCAAAATACACGTCATTGGTGTTCAGATTCAGGAGTGGCTAGGCCTGGAGAGCTTATGTCTGTGAGTGTATACAAGTTGTTTTTCTGTATGTAATGCATTCTCTGTATATTTGTGTTAAGCACTCCCTTGATAATGAGATGGTTCATCTCAAGGGGATTATTGTCCAAACAAATGTGTTTACGGTGTTCACAGGTTCAAATCCAGCTCGGGAACCTTGTTGTGGCATCCTCCTGTTTCTCTCTACTGTCTGTTGTGATCTATGTTCACACACTGTGACTCTTTAAAAGCTGTTTAATGCATGCCAAACTATGTGCTTGGACCCTGCTTATTGCTTAATTTTGGTTTATTTATTGTTGACGATGACAATGAATGTCCTTACCAACTACCACTCCACTGCAGTGGACCTGTGGTCGCTTGGCTGCATAATGGCTGAAATGATCTCTCACAAAATCCTCTTTCCTGGAATGGACTGTATCCTTCCTTGTTTGTCTCTGTTTCAGTTGTTTTCTCTTTCTCCAGAGACATAAATGTTTTTTTATTAAATTAGGAATAGTTTATTTAGTACATTAGAACATATCCCAGTGAGAAAAAAGGATTAGACACAGTGGTTTGATTTATACGTTTACACAATTATGTCACTGCCAAGAGCGGACTCTACAGAGAACCGTGCAAGACTACAATAAGCCCATTGATGAAGTCCCTGCTAAAAAACACAGTGAAGTTGTTCATATCTTTTCTAAAATAGCTTAGCTACAAGGTGATGCGTGAAACATGAAACAGGATTACAAACAGGAAGTAGTCAAAATACTTTTATGTGGCCTGCCCCAACTGGAAAGTCTTTTCGACCAGTCAAGAGTATAACTAGCCTGTTAGACCAGTCACAATGAATAGTGTAACCTGTCCAAGTTTAAATCTATGATTTATTGTGTTTATAGATATTACATAAAGTGGTCTATATGATCTGAAGACGTTAACAGAGCACTGAGACCTCTCGGCTTCAGTGAAACTAAAAGAGAAGGAAGAGAGGAGCTCATGGCTGTTTGCTACATATTCACGCTCTAACGCAAACGGTCCACCCAGAGAACGAGAGAGAGAGAGAGAGAAGCGCACACTCATCAGGGAAAGTGTGGGAGAGAGCAACAGCTGTGTAAACTGATAAGCAGAGCTGCAGAGGCGAGGAAAAAGGCCTGAAAGGCTGCATCTGGTTCCCAAGCCAGGGAGAGAAAAGAAAGGCAGCCTGAAGATGAATATGATGAAAGCGTCAGGCCGTAGCACAGCTAGAGGATGGACCAAAATAACGAGAGCTGGTGTTCTGCATTTCAATGTTGATGTTCATTTACACCATGGAGCATGTTGTTCATCTGTGCAGCCTCCATATGTCACTGTATGTATATTAGTGGGCATTATATTATGTGGTTGATGTTATGTGTTCATTATTTAATATATTGTGCTTTCTTGTGCGTTCTCTGTTCCCAGTGGACATCTGGTCAGTGGGATGTATCATGGGTGAGATGGTAAAGGGCAGCGTCATCTTCCAGGGCACCGACCGTATCCTTTACCGCTCTCACCGTCTCCGTGCCACTCATCCCATTTCTTCCATCTTTCACCCTCCATCAAGCCTCCCATTTATCTCAAAGTGTTTCCCTGTTATACCCACTAAGCATAACCTGTTGAAAAAGACCAATCAAGAGTTCCAGCACACCCCAATTTACAATTTACCCTGTGTTCCCTGCCCTCTTCAGTGGTAATGAATTTGTGGAGTTTCAGATAACTTTAATCCCTTTAATTGATAGAGGGAATGAAATTGAAGCAAGTCAGATCATTTGCATTTATATTGGCTGTTTCTCTATTTCTAATGGTTTTGTGCACCTCACTCACCAGCTCCTTTCGGTGACACTGACCATTTACACCTGAGTAGCTGAGAATGGATGCAGGTTGGGAGTGCGATTCTAGGATAGATTGCTTTTCATCGTGGGAAGTAATAGCCTTTTACTGCAGTTGTAAATCGGCTGCCCCGCTGGATGTGCATATGTGTATTTTTAGCCATGCTAGTGCCAAATGGCAAAGGTCTGTCTGGTCTGTCTGGTCTGTCTGTCAGTCTACTACTTTGGTCCAGACTGCAACATCTCAGCATCAACTAGATAGATCGGCACAATATTTGTACCAGCACCTATGGTTCCCAGCTCATGTGTGAAAGTTTGTGCACACATTAGTCTTCGAACTTCTTGGGACCATGTTGGAAATAAGTGTTTTCACTTTAACATGTTATCCTTTGGATATTTGTTTATCCATCAAATCAATCTATCAAGCATGTTTCTGTCAGGATGAATAATTCTCTGACTTTTTGTCGAGCACCATCGTCAGGTTTGTCCAGTTTATGACCAAATAACTGCAACACATTCCCATCATCCTCAACCATACTTGTGTTTTGTGTTAATTAGCAAATGTTAACATGCTAATGCAATAACCTAACATGGTGTGCATGGTAGATATACCTGCTGCTTAACATCAGCATGTTAGCCATGTCATTGTGAGCATGTTAGTTGCATGCTGGCTTTTAGTATTTAGCTCAAAAGCACTGCTGTGCCTTCAGCCTCACAGATCTGCTAGCATGACTACACACTCTTGTTTTGCCATTCTGCACTGTTCTGCACTGAACCTTTTATTGATATTTATTCATGTTATGCAAAGTGCATAATTTTTTTGTATTAGTCTCTTGATTTGGTGTCTTATCAAATGTTCCTCTCATTTGCTGACATATGTACATACCCATAATGCAGCTGAGTTTTCCCTAACAAGCATGTCGTCCAGACATTGACCAATGGAATAAGGTAATTGAGGTTCTGGGCACGCCCAGTCTTGAGTTTATGAACCGACTGATGGAAACCGTGAGGAACTACGTAATGAACAAACCACAGTATCCTGGCGTCAGCTTTGCCGAGCTTTTCCCGGACTGGGCCTTTCCTTCTGACTCAGAACATGACAAACTGAAGAGTAAGAATTTTAGACACTAAGTGAACCTGACTTTACTAATTAAGATAGTTAATGTTTTATAGCATAGATTTCATGGTTTTTAAATCTCTTTCCAAGGATGCTGCCCTAATGTATAGATTTTAGTCAACAACATTTGTTTGCAGCATATTGATGTAATGAGACATTTCTCAACAAAATCAGAGGGAGTTTGTCTCCCGAAGCATTTAGAGTCGGTGGCATTTAGAGTTAGAGATCACATCACCAAAACAGGAGACCAAATCTTGACCTTTCCAGGGATGTTAACCTACAACACGAGGGGAAGTAATCAGTTCTCATAAAGAGCACTTAAATGAGGTGGTGCCACAGGACTTTTTTTACAGTAACACTGCCCTTCCTCTGTTGCCTTAACAGCGGGACAAGCACGGGACTTGCTGTCCAAAATGCTGGTTATTGATCCTGAAAGCCGCATCTCCGTAGAAGAAGCCCTCAATCACCCGTACATTCACGTGTGGTACGACCCTGCAGAGGCCGATGCGGTGAGTAGACTGTTCCAGTGGTGGTACACTTTATCAATGCTACTGCTGTGTGGTGCCATGCTGATGTATTTCTCTTTGCTTCACAGCCTCCTCCCCAGATTTCAGATAAGCAGCTGGAAGAGAGAGAGCACTCCATCGAGCAGTGGAAAGGTAGGATGCACTGCCCTCTAGGGAAATCCATCAGCAGTGCAGCTTAACTTCACATTAACATTTTCATTTAAGTTACAGGAAACTAACCCTAAAAAGATTTTTAATATTCCATGTCAGTATACACAGTCACGGGAAAAAGTATTTCAACCCTTTGGAATTACCTGGATTTCTGCATTCATAAAATGTGATCTGATTTTCATCTAAGTCACAATAATAGACAAACCCAGTCTGCATAAACTAATACCACGCAAACAATTATATGTTTTCATGTTTTTATTGAACACACTGAGTAAACAGTCACAGTGCAGGGTGGGAAAAGTATGTAAACCTCTAGGCTTATGACTACTCCAAAAGCTAATTGGAGTCAGAAGTCTGCCAACCTGAAGTCCAGTCAATAACACAAGATTGGAGGTGTTGGTTAGAGCTGCCCTGTTACTTTTAAAACAAAACATACTAACAGACTAGAACATGTGCTCTCTCTCCTGCTGACAGCCATTTAATAAAAAATGTACACAAGGCAGCAGACAAAAGTTGCCTCTATGTTGATTGGCAGGTTGCCATGGTAGCGACAAGGTAGTCCCGCCCAAAAGCATATGCTGCATTATCGTCTATTTTCCCCTCTATAGGACCATTATTTACTAAATGAACATCATGATGTGTTGAAGAAGACTTGAAAGTAGCGATTGAGACCATAAACTCATCAGGAAAGTGTTTACTGGGGTAATAATTCAGCTGAGATGTAGCAACATTTTATTTCTAATGGAACCAGGGCCTGTATTTATCAAGCTTCTCAGAATTACTCAAAAGAACACTGCTAAGAACTGACTTAAGAGTAAAAAAAATTACTGGCTCAAAGCTGTGCTTAAAAGTTACTTATGGAGCATCATAGTCCTAATTTGAGTGAAGTCTAGGACAAACTCTTAAGTGTCAGTCTTAGTGCTGATTTAGGACACCGCAAACAGGATTTTGGATGACGATGTCGCCAAGGACTAAATAGATTTCCTTCTTTAAGAATATTCTCAGATAAATTCACATTGAATGGTGAAATTCCTAAGAGGAGTTTACGTTCAACACACATTTAACAATAAAGAATTTTCAAGATAATACATTATGATGTAGGCCTACACATTAATAAATGAAAGATAAAACAAAGTTTATCCTTCAAATGCGCTCTTGTATTGCTGGCTGTGAAGTTTCACAAACCAAGAATATTCTGTACATCACAAGCCAGATGTATCTTGATTTAGGTTAAATCTTTACAACATTACTGAGAATTTATTGATAGAATAGCGTTACGACGTCTGTGTGACTGGACCTGGGGAGCTAACCGGAGCTAGCTGGCTAAGTATTCCCGACAGCCCCCCGAAGTATATTACTCTGTCCCTAACCATCACAGGGTCTGTGCCTAAAGTTATTGATTGTATGCATGTCAACCGGTTAACGTTAACGCTACAGTGGCGCACATTGGCCACTAGCAGATAGGGCTAACCTCCACTGTGTTGCTGTGCAGCCTCCGCTAACGTTTCTGCAGCTATATATTGACACCCGCCGGCACCATGGTCGGCACTTGTCAACTCCGAAAACGTTTGAACACATTTTCACTCAGCAGGCTGACTTACTGCCAGCACCAGGGAATGAGAGGCAAGTCTTGTCAGGTAACAGTCACTGGACTGACATCTAATATCTATTTTGATAATTTTGTGACATTTAATAAAGCATAACGTTATTACAGCGCAGTTATGTTGTGCTAAGTTATAGTTTCAACACAACTTTAGTCCTGCTTGTGTTTACAGTCAACAGCTGATGAGAGTTGTTCTGGGTCCGCTCCACTTCAGAGCCCTAATCGTTTTTCTACGTGACACTTGTTTACTGACACAGACTCTAAAGACAAATCTGTTTATTTATAACATTTATTAGAGATCATGTTAGATATTCACAGGAAGAGCAACTTGCCCTCTTTCTGTTTTCAACATTTTCCGTAACAACAAGCAACATTCAAAGCGTGACAAAGTAACATGTTTACACACACACACACAACTCCAATCAGGTATGTTTTATCTTTTTAATGAACAATTACAGAAAGAGGCATTCGCGGGGACAGCTACGTATTCTTTTCCTGTTTTCAACAGCTGTCGTATCTACGACAACCACAGACGTATTCGGCTGACGGTCACCAGTTAACAGGGCCACTCGTTAAACCGAAACACCGGTCCGCCAGAGAACGCAACTTAACTTTTACTTTTTATTTATCGACAGAGCCGTGCTGTTGTTTCACCGCTCCTCACTGGTGAACAACCTGCAGTGTTTGAGATTATTGTTATTAAATTTTCATAAGAGTGTGTTTTATTTTTATTCATCTAGTGTGTCAAGCTTATTACCTTAATATATTCCCTGTTCCCTAGATGTTAATATATAGATTTTTGTCATGGATAGGTGTTAGGCTATTGTATGAATGAGCACTTTAGAGATGTCCATCCATCCATCCATCCATCGTCAACCGCTTATCCTGCATACAGGGTCGCGGGGGGGGGGACAAAACAGACAAAATTATTAAAATTAAATAAATACATTTAAAAAAGAAGAAATTAATAAATGAAATTGAAGATTATAAATAATATATATAATAATAATAATATATAAATAAATAAGGTAATTAAAATAGATATATACATTTATGTCTCCTTGTATAATTTAATTAATACCTACATTTATTTATTTACTTTATTTTTTTGTGTATTTAATCGGATGCTTATTTATTTATTTATTGAGCATTTATTTATTTCTGTATTTATTTCTGAATGTGTCAGGATCGGTCCTCCATACACTAGAGGGCTGCAGCGCCACAATAACCAGCCTAGTTAAAATGAACGAAATGACAAAAAAAGATTAGTTAATTTTAATCAACGAGATTTGGTGACTCGAGTCTTTCAAAAGAGTGACTTTTCCGATCACTAGTTAACATTAGGATCTATACTGTACGTGAGCCGAGATTATCCCTTACACGTCATCACGTTTTGTGTGCCATGTCTTCTGGCACAAACCATATTTGGATGTTCAACTTCCGTCAACTTCCATCAGGTCTGCGGGCTGCAACTGGATATACTTGAAAGTTTATGCCTGCGTGGTCTTATTAACTGCGCGTCGTCAGAATTCTTCCTCTCCGCTCCGCGTGTCTCTGTCTCCACAGTATGGCAAGCCATTAGTGCCAAAAAACGTCACTCTTGTAGCATGGTTTGCTAACAAAACGGCGTTTAAAACGGTGTTTTGTGTATAAAAACGCCGCGAAAAACGCCGTTTTATTTGGCACGCCGTAAAAAGCACCTGAGTTAAATATGAGTGTCACGGGCAAAGGGTCTGAATACTTATGACCATGTGATATTTCAGTTTTTCTTTTTTAATAAATTTGCAAAAATTTCTACATTTCTGTTTTTTCTGTCAAGATGGGGTGCTGAGTGTACATTACTGAGAAATAAAATGAACTTTTTTGATTTTTGGAAAATGGCAGCAATGAAACAAAGAGTGAAAAATTTAAAGGGGTCTGAATACTTTTCGTACCCACTGTATATATATAATAATAAAATAAATGCAAAGACGCAAATTCGCTCCGGACGGCGCGTATGAGGTGTTTGTCGCGCAATTTGCTGGTTCGCACAAGTTAAAATTTTTCAACTTGGCGAAAAATTCGCTTGACGCGATGTTGCGAAAGCCTATCAGCGGTGAAATTGTCCAAACGTCACGGGCGGCTTCGGAGCGTTGTTTGGAGAGGACAAGGCGAGCAGTGTAATGATTTACTTTAGTTTTTGGAATTACAACTTGATTTATCTAAACTCGCGCTTGTCGGCAGCTAGCTTCCGTGCACATCCGGTTCCACTGTTGCGTCGAATGGCACTACTACTTCATTTTTATCTAAAAACCGGACATTACTTGGAGAAAAGAAGGCGAGGAAGTTGAACTACCTGGTGAGTTTAGAACATGTGTGTCTGTAACTTTATTCCAGCTGTCGTTGTACTTTACTGTGAATAGGTTAGCATAGCATAGCCCTGATCGAACCGAACTCCATTCAGAAAACACGTATTTTGAAAGTTGTCGTCTTGCTGACAGACCTGACAAAGTATGAATTCATATGTCTAACAAAACGGCATAATATTGTAGTTATTTCGGCATAAGTTTGATCCGTTTATTGCAATTAAATCACAGCCAAGCGTTTACTTTCTGTTCATATAGCTGTAGTATTCGCGGGCTGTGCTTAAAACACGTGTGTGTGTGTGAACACTCAAAATGTCCAGCGGTCAAACTCGCGTGAGTAAAGCGAGGCGAATATTAAATTCGCTTTCAGTGGGAACGCACCTTAAGAGTGATTCTTAGCTTTGAGAAATTTGTTAACTTGCTTTTATTCCTAAGTTTAAAAGTAGGAGTAAATTTCATGAATTCTCAGCACTTAAGACTAAAATGGCACTTTGAGAAGCTTGATAAATACCAGCCCAGACTTCTTTTTGCAACCCCCTGCTGTCCGTTACAGAGTATGCAGTTTTAAGTTCTGTTTGCATGTTTTCACTTTCAGACCCAGAGGTTGCCCTTGATTGAGATGAGAGAAATAACATTTTTGACAACCACTGGTAATGTAACTACAACTGTGGATTGGACAACGGTGCGCGCCAGGAGCTGCAAAACAACTGCAGGATGTTGAGTTTCAATATTTATTTTAATTAAATACTAATATTTTTGCACTGGCCCTGTTGGGCCCCGGGCCATTGGGCCACCATAATTGTTGAGCCCTGGGTCTGATCTGCAACTACAGCAAACGTTTGGTTGAGATTATTGATACCAAGGAGGGTCAACCAGTTATTAAATCCAAGGGTTCACATACTTTTTCCACCCTGCACTGTGACTGTTTCCACGGTGTGTTCAGTAAAAACATTAAAAGATATAATTGTTTGTGTGGAGTTAGTTTGTCTGTTGTTTTGACATTTTATGATCAATTTATGCAGAAATCCAGGTAATCCCAAAGGGTTCACATATGTTTTCCTGCGACTGTAAATATACTGTGCATGTGATGTGCTGTGCAAAGCATCTGAAGTTACAGCGAAAAGTCACAGTTGGTTTATTTTGACCAAATTCCAGGACGGTATGCAAATTAAACCAACAAAGGTCCCAATTCAGCAGAGCTTTTTGGTGTTGATTGCTATGGCAATACAAAAACATGGCAGGCAGTGTGAAAGTATCAAAGGAATCCCACAATCCTGAATAGTTTGTGTGCTGAACACACACCGCACGTGAGTGCACCTGAGGAGTAGACTTGTTTATGCATCAAATCAATTCAACAACTCTCCTGAAGACAAACAAACTGTACTCTCTGTACTCTCTCTGTACCCTGTACTTCAGTCTTTGTGTGCATTAGCAGCAGAGTGACTGAATGAGAGAAAAAAGTTAACAATGCAACAAGCTGTTCAGGGTTACATTTTTACCCCGATAACAGTAAAATATGTGTAGAAAGCAGATATACGTCTCTGCCATTGCTTATCCACTTAGGAAAAATAAGTAAGAGTAGTATCTTTTCCTTTTCACTTGGAAAAAACTTCCTGCAAGTTTTATTGTGAAAAATCAGCCAAATGTCTTTCATCTGTAATAGTCCATGCATTGTTCAGCCTTTTTCCAAGTGACAAAACACTGTCAAATTGTTTTAAAAGTCAGCGCCCAAACAATATACTGTATAAAAAATGTCTAAACCAGGAAAAAAAGGTTGTAAAATTTACATTTAGGAGCAGACAAAAAGACCAATTAAAGGGCCATTTCTGTATTTTCAACTTTTTTTCCCCACATATTTCTGTCGAAACGATGTACAAAGAGGTACAAAAAGTTTTGGAATCCGTGCAGTACATGGCTTCAGCCGGCAGCAACGAACAAAGGGTGTCACCGGGTGTCACTCGTAGGGATTCTTTCCGTGATGTTTTCAGACACCTTGTATTACAGGCTGAGCCTGTCTGTGGCAAAAATAATTACTTTTTGTGGACCTAATTTTGATGGCCGCAGTTGCCCCAAAGGAATACGTTGTAGCCACTGCAGCCAGCTGGAGGAATCGTACGTTTTGTACTCGCTAGTCGTGACCCCAAAATATGTGAAAATAGGTTTAAAAATACTGAAATTACTCTTTAACAGCAATTGATGACATATGCAAGAGCTGATGACAGGGCCAAAGATAATTAACATATATTTAGCAACAATTTCCTGTACCTTTAAGTCTATATTCTGAGTAGACACTGTCACCAAATATTTTCTGTTTTTTTACAGAACTCATTTATGAAGAGGTGATTGACTGGGAAGAGAGGAACAAGAATGGACTGATGAAAGAAGACTGCTCAGGTTTGTATTATGCACTACCTCAATTCATTATCTGACTCCTTGGGCACCAAATTGCTGGAAGGAGTGATGTCACAGCATAACTAGCTTGAGCTCACGTCTGGTTTCCTGGTTATTGAACTATAAATATTATCTAAATACTGTATCTCCTGGTTATCTCCATTATTTGTGTCACATTTCAGATGTGGTGTCAGGCTCCGCCTCTCAGTCCTCATCAGCCAACGACATCTCATCCATGTCCACAGAGCAAACCTTGGCCTCGGACACAGACAGCAGCAGCATTGACACACTGACGGGACCGCTGGACGAGAGTCAGTGAACACAGTCCGTGGCCACATGTTTCTGCCTGCCTGCCTCAGCTCCCATTTACAATATCCAAATATCAATCAGCCATCATCTTTCTTCTCTTTACTCCCTCATCCTCTTCTTTCCACTTTAACATCAGTGAGACTGTTTTTTTCTGTGTGATGTGGTGGATCTTGTTGATCCTCTTCATCTTCAGACTTTGTGTTACCTAGAGATCAAAGCTATCCATTTGTTTGGGTCAAAGGTTTGTCCTTTTCTTCTTCGTGGATATTGTTTATCTTCATCTTCAAGTATATATGACTTATGCATCCATATTGATTTTCAGGTTAACAGGGACTAAGTGAGGGATTGTTTTTTTGTTCTGTATGCCTGTATTTTAATAGTTTTATTTTTTTAGCAGATATTAAGTTGAGAGGTTATTGTCATCAAATTAGAGCAGACTGAGAGCACTGAACATAGACCACAGCTGCCAGCTGCGCTCATGCATGTTACGCCAATACTAACAAAAGCTTATCATAAGTCGATCGCACCGACCATCTGATGTCCATCTGACGATTAGCTAGCCCGCAGTATTGCAGATCTCCACAGTGGTGCTTTCTACACAGTTTTTTTTTATTTCATTGGCTTGAGTGATGTGGATTTTGAGCTTTTCCTCCTGACAGCTAGGAGAAACGGTGGCTGCATTATTAAAGTTTTATTTCCTGATATAATGTACTGTATGTAAAGATGTGATGATCCGACACTCATAGCGGCTGTAGAGCCTTTCACTGCTAATAGACAAGGTGCACTTGTTTTGTTAAGAAGCTCGACATATCTGTAAAACCATATATTGCAATCACCCACATTTCACATGAGGTACTAACTGTGTATATCAAAAGAACAGAGACAAAAAGATACATGTAGTGTTTATTTTTGTGTTCTTGCGAAATGTTGCACACAATCACATTGAGGCTGGTGTAAATGACGCCTCTGGTCATTTCACTGACAAATCCGTGCATTGGCTGCTCCTTTTCTAAATCATTCCATTAGTACCAGAGCAGTAGCAAGTCTAATCATGAATCAGACATCATTAAGAACTTATGTAAAGGCAGTAAAACACAAATAACAGTGTTTAATGTGCATGAAGGCATTATAGATGCCAATAAGAAACTGTAGTTCTTGTTATAAAGAGAAAACCATTCAGTCCAGTTCCATTTCTTACAGTACCTTGATGTTCTTGGTTTTGAAAGCCTGTTTGATGCAGTGTTGTATTTTGTGTGTGTGTGTGTGTGTGTGTGTGTGTGTTTTATCATCAAAAAGTACTGTGCAGCTCCTGTCTTTCATTATCTCCTTTGAGTCGTCCTTAAAGACAGCAGCCGCCTGGTTGCAAAGGCAGAGTGTATGGAGGACGTTGGCCCCTAAACATGTTGTGGTTTAAAATGAGGACGTGACTGTGGAGCCATGAATGAAAACCTGGACATTGAAACTCAAGATGGAGACTTAACGATGGACTGGGGAACTGCTTTTTGCAGAACTGATTGCACAATGGGATGGAAATACAGAAATATGACACTATGAAGTCACTGAGGACTTGAAGCACCATATTGTACGCTATGTTTTCCTTCGATAAACATGACCTTATTCTTTCAGTCATGCCTTAAATGACCAGAGGAGTGGCCAATTCTCTCCCTAAAATCTTATCTGATATGGACTAAGCTTTACAATGCTCAGAACATCTTGTGTTTTCCTTTTTGTTTGTTTTTTCAAAAGCTCCATTATATGCACTCTACATCTCACACAGTTTGTTTCTCCTTTTATTTTCAGAGATGTCCTGTGTAATTGCAATGACCACAATATAATCTCTTGGCCATCATCTTTTGCCCTTATGTAACTAATAAAGTGGACATCAGTGATTAATTTTCTTTCATTGATGTTGTTTTGTATATTTCTCACATTCTTAATGGAGGAATAATTGTACATCACGTAAACCTTTCCCAATTATAGGGAAGGAAATATTCTACATGAATAGTGACAAACTACTATACTAAATGAATCTAACTAGAGTTTAAAGACGAGCCAGTCTTGTGCCTTTTGTCCTTCGCTTTGCACCCACTGTTCATATCATCACACACAACTCAAGCATAGTTTCTGTACTCAAAAGCTCTTGACGATACATTCTGTCTTCTTGGCCTCATTGTTGAGCTCTCCAAAGGTGTCAAAGAACTGCTCCATCTCCTTCTGCAGCGTCGCATTGCGTAGTTCTGCGGTAGCCCGGGCCCTTTCGGACTCCATGATCTTAGCCTGGACTGCCTGGTACCACTGCCGTTGCTGCGCGAGGTTTGTTTTCAACCGAACAACCTCTACCTGCAAGTCTTCATTTCTTTGCTCTAGGCTGATCATAGAGGGAGAAGGGCAAGGACATCAAAATGACTGGGTGTATGCAAAAGGCTGAGAACTGTTACTCTCTTCTACCAATGAGCAGGGGTGAGAGGAGAGGACAGTATAGGGAATTTTTGGTCAATCTGGAACACGTACATTGATTGTTTGGTTTTAGCGGGTTTGATTCTTGATGCCTGATATAATTAGAAATGGCAGAACATGTGGCTCAGAAAGTTGGGTTCAACTGTACAATTAATCACTCTCCTCCCTGCATTCTATGTCAAGTCATTTTCCTCTCATCCTCGCCAACTAGTTCCAGTGACCTTAGACTGCGACTTGCTCTATCTATATCAGTAATGAATGAGGTATGTGTTGTGTCTAGGTCAGCAGCATGGCCCCTTAAATTAGCTCTCTTCCCTGTGCCATGATCTGTTTCTATAGGTCAGCCACACAGGCTGTGCTTCTTTTTTTCCACTAAAGCCAAATGGCTATTTACCAATAGGAAGCACAGTGAGTTTGTCTTTTACGTCAGTGGAAAAACCACAAACAGTACTTGGTACATCCAACTAGTTAAGATAGAATATGTGATGCATTGAGATTTCCACAGTAGACTGAAAACATGAACAGAAGTGGTTAAACAGATAATTAGGACTAATCTTAGTTCGGCCAATGTACATTAACATAGCATATCATGGGACACTTTAAAGAAATCTAATAACAGCTGTTAGTGCACTGTGAACTAAACAGGATATAGGGTGAAGCTTGGGGTCAACTGAGGCCCGGGAACATTGTGTCACCCTTCAATGGAAATAAACCAAGAGCTGGAAAATTCTCATAGGCAAGTCAGTGGACTGAGGCTGTAATACTGAAGCCTAGAGTATAAGCACATTCAAATTCATTTGTCTTTTACATAGTGTGCCTAATCTCTGTAAAGTGATTATGTGCGTGGTGTAGTTTGAAATGGAAATGCAAGACAAAACAAACGTAGCATTACCTGATTATCCGTGCCTCGTACTCCTCCCTCTGTCTGACAATTTGCTGTTGGAGGCTAGTGAGGAGGCTGCGAAGGGCACTGGCAGAGGGGTCTGCCAGGGGTACAGGAGGGGGCACCCTGGGAGAACAGGGTGGCTGCTCTGGGTGATGGGCTTCAGCTGGGGGCCACATAACCTGGCACACCGTTTGAGATAGCTGAGGGGAACATGCCGGAAGATCTTGTTGAGGAGGTGACATCGGGAGCTGGAGGTGCAGCATCAGGTCCCCCTGCTTAAATCCAAAGGATCCTGAGTCCAGCTCTGGCTCCTGTTCATGCTTCTTGTCTTGCTCTGGATTCTTGTCCTGGTTACTGGAACTGCTTCCAGCGAGGATGATCTCACAGGAGGACCAGGTGCTCTTGTCTTCACTCAGTCCCTCACCATCCATCAGCCCTTGGATCTGCACTGGGGCCCATGCAGGGTACATCTGCTCCTGCAAGTGCTCCTGGAGGCTTGTGTCCATGTCAAAGACCTCTTGGAGGCTGTCAGGGGTGACAGCGTCGGGGAGGTTATCATACAGAGACAGAGCACTCCTGTGCTCCTCACTCTGTGATGGAGTCAAGCCCTGATTCAGATGAGCTCTGTCCTTAACTCCCCAGCTATATCCCTGTTCTCCTCTTGCTCTGTTGATGCCTGGATCCAGCTCTGCTTCCCATCCCTGTCTTCCCAGAACTCCTCTCCAGCTGCAGTAGCTGTGATCTGGCCAGGCGCCAGTCCCTCTTCCCCCAATGACCAGTGTGGGAATCTCCGCCACAGCTGGGGCCAGACCAGGCAGTGGGCTACTGCAGGGCCCTGGGAGTCTGGTTACAGCCGGGCACACAACCCTACTCTCCATTTCCTTTTCCCTGGCCCTCCCTCGCTGGGCAAAAGGTGGGCAGTTATCGTATAGGGGGTCCGTGGAGCAGGAGCTGGCTGTGGTGGGTGTCTCAGTAGGAAGACAGTGCAGCTCCATGATCCAACCAGGCACACAGGGGTGCTGAGAGGCTTAGATAACTGCCCTCCCCTCCTATGTCTGCTGCAACTTGGGATTCTAGTCTTGGATTGTGGATTTGTGAGTGTGGGAAGAGGAAGGCGTACGAGCCCTTCTCCCCTTTGGCTGGCTCTCTGCTGTGCCCTGCTGCCTAGTGGTAGACAGGTTGTAGTGTGGGTGTGTGTGTGTGTGTGTATGTCTTTAAGCAGGACTGACATCAGCTGTTACTTTAGTACAGCTTCTGAGGGACGGACCAGGGTGTAATATAGTCTGGCTCATTCCTAAAGACAGTCACACGTAACCGCAACCACAGAAATAGACAGTGGCCAGGGGCACAAGGTGTGGAGCACACACAATGAACCCCATAATCTGCATGCAACATTTGAGCAGTAAAATCTGCCAAAACGAATGGAAAGAATGGATCCATTGCTTGTGGGGTTACCTTTGACTTTTAGTGCTTCCATGGGCCTATTACTTCAGCTGGGTCACTGATTTCCCTTCTCTGTTTTAATGCACTCAGTCTACACTGACACTGTAGGATGTGTTAACAGCCAATCGCTTGTTCTGTAGACAGAGTTCACCCCATGGAATCTGCTGCAGCACATTTATCACATATTTGAGAGCTGCCCAGGACCAAACCAGTGAATTGCTGTCATTGACAGGAGAAGAGGTGACAAAGCATATTGTGTTGCCAGGTGTTGTTAAATTATGGAGGTTGCAGATTTAACCCACGCTATACGGTAGGGAGGACAACTGTGCCTGATGTTCACTTAAGCTTTTGTGTTGTGTTTTTTTGGAGGAGTACAACTGAAGGACACAAAGATAGGAGGAATCATCACATGAGAGAGAGAAGAAGGGAGAAAAGCAATAACTGGATAAATGACAGGAAACACACACACACAGACACACATAATAGTGTCGTGGTCAGTGTGTCTTAAAACCACAAGATGGAGCTATAGGCAACATCATGGAGGGGCTTTAAATGGGCGGTGTACCTTGAAATCATTTAAAGAGGTGGTATTATGCTCATTTTCAGGTTCAAAATCTTATTTAGAACAGGTTTACATGGTTTAATTTTCAAAAAACACCATATTTTTCTCATACTGCACATTGCAGCAGCTCCCTGATGCATCTTACTTGTACAAAATCTTTGTTGGGAGTTGCACATGCGCAGTTCCCAGATAAGGACTACTAGCCAATTAGAAGCAGAGAAGGGCGGGTCATAAGAAACAAGGTAGTGTGATCCAAATCAAAGCTGCTTCAGACTGCGACCTTAACCTAGCAGATGGTATAAGTTACTCACAAGTCCACATCATTGTTCCACATCTTACCATAAACCACTACAAAAACTACTACTACTGTTTCAACTCAATTTTACATAAAAATTGGCCAAACAATTTGAATGTTTGCTCAGTAGCTTTCACATCAGGTGTAACATTAGCATTATAGCTATAACTTTAGCTGTGTTAGCCAACGTTTACAACAACTCTGCACTTGTACAGTCTGTGAAGTTACATTGCCGTGTTTATTTTAAATATAATTCACAACCAATAAAGCATACTTACAGGTTGTGATTGTGAATTTCCAGGTCCAAACTGAGTCGGAGTTGTATCGTCTTTTAGGACAACATTGAACTGTTGCCGGTGTTCTGACGATCTATGCTGCCTCGCTGAAAAATGCTACCATAGCGCAAATCGATAGACTCGACTCTACTCAGCCCTGCTCCGTTTTACATTGCAGGTAGTACCAGAGATAGTACGTAGCTTGTCGTCATAGCGACGCCACACACAACTGCCGCGACGTAATGTTCAATGCGACACACACTCCAGCGATCCACACAGCTTTCTCTTTTTTAAGTTAAAACGTTTCAACATTCCTCAGAATGTAAAGACAGATAAGCGGTATGAAAACCTTCAAGCTGTGTTTTCCTCTGCCGTTGTTGCTGCAGCGGTCTGTGTGACGGCGGGAGTAGAGGGCTCTGTGAGCGGACGGCTGGTCCCGCGGGTTGGCACAGGCTTCCCCTGCAGCCACTTGCAGAGCTCCTGAACTACAAAAATATTCAAGCACATCTTTGTTCCGCCATCACTTCTCGTAAAACTGTCAATATTCGAAATCTACACAGCTGATTTTTCACCTCAAAACTTCTACGAAGTGGATTTAGTGATGAAATTACATACGAAAAACGGAAAAATATAAAACTTTCTGTTGCTGGCCTCTTTCTGGCACACACAATGATGATACAGTGAATAGTGACGATTCTCTCTGACCAATCAGCAGTCTGACGTGTTTTCACGTTACATTTTAGTATCCCTCAGCTCGCTTGGAACCTCGACGGAGGTGAGGTGATACGAAAAAAAGTACCCGGAAGCAGGTACAGGTACAACATTTCTACAATGGAAAACCAAACAAAGGCGAGTCGAGCCAAAGGGCCTCTGCTCAGACTAGCTTGGTTTGAGGGCATGCCTGACCCCCGCTAGCCGCTTGGCAAGCTTTATGACACGTTTTCATTGTGACGTCACAAGTAAAGGAAGTG